CGCGGCCCAGCAACATGTCGCAACCGTCCAATGTTGTCGCCAGCATCTTCGTCGTAAAGCTGAAATTTTCGCCGCAGGTAACTCGCACGTGAGGAACTCTCTCCCGAATTGCCAGAGGCGTGCCATCGACCAATCGCGCGTCGATTTCGGGTAGACACCGCTCTAGTTGCAGTCGCAATTTTTTCGCTTTTGTCACATCCATTAAACTGTGGCTTGCCCCGCCATCAACAAATATTTTTATGCGGGTATCCCCAACTCTCCCTTCAACCAGCACAGGGTGATCTACCGGTTCACCCCCCTTATTCAGCCAGGAATGGTCGACAGCCCAAATCGGCACTATAACCTGGTGGGGGTGGTGGCGTTTGGGCGACGCAGTCAAGTCAGTAGGTGGCCCATCTGCTACTGACGATCTCCATTTCCCGACTGCTTCCTGTCGTTAGGTAAGTTCTTCTTCAGCTGCGGGCAGTCCCTCACCATGTGACCCGGCTGGTTGCAGTGGAAGCAGGTCCCCGAAAATACTCGGGCTGCAAACACGTCCACGCCGTTGATTGATGTGTGTTGGGGCTGGCCTCGAAAGCGATTTCCCTCCCAGAAACCCGCTCTCGCGAGTCCACGTCGCGCGTCCAGCGAATCCGCCATGCGAACAATTTCGTTGAAGGTCGTCGGGGCTCGCAGGACGATTTCTTGTTGAATCTCCGGTTTGAGTCCGCCCACGTAGCGATCAATCTTCTCGTCCTCGCTGATCCCTCCGATTTGGTCGCAGATGGCCAGAAACGACGCCGTGTATTCTTGAACAGGGCCCAACTGTCTCCACATTCGAAGCTTTGTGCGAGCATTTTCGCGCATGGATATGTGCTCGAATTTGCTTTTCAACGCCTCGCCCCACGCTTTCCACGTGCGGATCGTGGTCGAACCAAAGATTGGTTCTGCCGTTGCCGTTGATGAACTCAACACCCCAGCTGCCGCCCGTTGATTCCCAGCCGGAGCTCCTCTCTCGTCAAGATGCATGCGCCACCAGTCGGGTGTCGGTCCCCTCAGCAGTGATACAGCCAAGTTGACACGTGAGACGTTGTCATTAATACTTGCTGCCGTGAAGAAAACTTCCATGGCGAACAGCCACCCGCTCACAGTGGTCGTCTTGTCTGTTGGGTTGAACGGTGGGGGCATGGGAGGTTTGATTTTAATGGCCGCCCGCGGTTCGCTGTGGATTTCTTCAACTGCTTCAGGTGTCGCCGACGCCTTCGCTTCGCTCGCAGCATCCTCGTCTCGGGTAACAGGCCGCTCCTGACGCATTTCACCCCGCGTCTGGCGAAGTGACGAGTTTTCATTACGCAGCGTCTGAACTTCGCTTCCCAGCGACTCGAACTTGTCCGCGAGTTGTTGAAGCTGGGCCTGCAGCGTCGTCACTGTGGCCGCCCTGGCTTGCAACTCGTCAAACTCCTCCTGAGTCACGTTCCTAACACTACGACGGGCAGAGGTTTCCGGCGTGCTAGTCATGCTGGAATTTTTTTTACCTGACAGATCTGAGGGTGCACACGCTTTTAGTTGGAGGAGCTTTAACGAGCTCGCCTACCAACCGTTGGCCAACCCTCTATTCTGTCGGGTCCTCTCCCGATATAAACGGACTACTCTATGGAAGACTAAGCAGGCAGGAACGGGGCTCTGATACCAGCTGTTATGAATTAATCAGAGTAATACCAGGTAGTGTAATAAAGGAGTCGTGCTTCAAGAGTTGTCAATACAAATGAGGGCCTAGGCATTTATAGGCACAACGGGGCTAGCCGAGAACCTTGCAAACAGGTTGGGGCGACTCGGTTGGCGAAAGCCACGCAAGCGCCGCGCGTTAGGTTTGGGTTTACGAAATGGTTCGGGACCGAGGAAAACGGCCGAGCCTGGTCTTCCGAGGGTCGAAGGAATTTTTCTTACAGCGACGAGATCGTCTTAGGGTTGCGGAGCATTTCATGATGAGACTTTATTATACATAAAATATTTTATTTCCATCACAACAAACATTTGATTTTTATTTCACAAACTTGAAAAAAAAACCAGCCCGATCGATTGCAATAGGTTGCTCCGCAACCCAAAAAGGGACTCTTTCAGACCTCTAATGTAATTCTGTTTCAGATTTGCGTTCCACCAGTTCCAACCGCAAGAGTAGGAAATTGCTTGTCGAAATATCACGCGGAAGGATCTGCGCGTGTCTGAAAATTGGTTACGTGAAAACAGGTTCTACAGCACATCATATATTTATGCAAGCCTAATCTCGCGTCACACCATGTGAAACCGTACTGAACAGTTTCGCGTCAAAATTTGCGACACTGTAGTGCGGTTGTCTGGGACGAGGTTGGTTGGGAAGGGGTTCGTAGGAACAAGCTCGTAGAATGGGTGAAGCCCTACTCGTTCGTAACTGGACACACAGAAAGACGGGGCGCGTTCGAGGGAACGCTCGTTTCAAACCAGATCATTAGTGCCAGTAGAACTCCTGTGTGGTCTACCAGGGACCTCCTGTGTTCGTGTCAGATTATTGACCAGGTTATTTCTGATTTCTTTGGGGACTGCTCTCAAAAGCACCGAAGTGCAGGGCAACTACTAAAAGATGTTTAGTTAATAGGTGTGGAAGGACGCGGCAACACGGCGCAAAAAGTCTACGTATCACCGTAACCAGCCATGCGAAAAATAACAAAACCGTTTTCATCCTCGTTGCAACTGGTCCCTGAGGGCAATCAAACTTCATCCTCTCCAGCTTTTACTGAGGGTGACAGGTGCGACCTATTGGTTCGGTTTGAGAATATCTTGCGTGCCACGTGTGTGACAACATGATCGATGTTTGCCCCCAAAACTCTTGTCCGAACCGAACCAAACCGAACCGAACCGTTTGCGTAGACTCAGCAGAATGATTATTTCCACAAGTTGAGCACAACTCTGCAGGGCAGCGGAGCGATGGGAGAAGTCCACCCTAAGAGCCTGTCCATAGTGGGATGTCGAGGGACGTTGGGGGATGTCGAGGGATGTGAACCAGGATGCAAGATCCCTCGACATTCCACAACGGATTTCGTTGGATGTTGACGTTCCACTCTGGGCTTAAACCCTGTGGGGCTAAGGGGGAAAGGGAGGACGGGGGACCTTTAGATATTCCTACGCCTCCTGGCGGCTACCGAGATGTCCGGGTTCTCTCAAAACCCTCCCGGACTCTACGGGTAAGTAATGAAATCTCCCTAATTTCGTCAGTGCCTGCTCTAAAAAGCCTTATAAAACACAGGGCTTGTCGATAAAACCCTTGGATTTTCATTAAATTTAGGGTAATTGCTCTAACACGTCTCCTGCTCTACAGCAGGGAATCTTGCATTGCAAGTCAACTACAGCAGCTGTGACGCTTTTGGATTCGATTTCGAAGTGGTTCCGACACATCCATGGCTCTCGATGTGTTTTTTGGGCACCCAGCCAGATACGAGCGGGGGTGGAGCTTCACCCTGCCACTGCAAGGTGAGGGTCCGCTTCTTGTCAAGAATTGCACGGTAGAATAAATTCCATTTGATGATGGCGTCTGGGGCATTTGAGAGTTTGAGCACCCCATGCTTGACTCTAAATGAACTCGAACTTAATCGGTTTCGAGCCGATTCTAGCGCCAACAGTGGTACAGTCTCGACTGACGACTCAGCCAAAATTAAGCTAGATTAGCCGGTTTTTTTCTTGCAAACTTTGGAAAGCACAGGGTGAGTCTGATTTCGCCTGGTGGATTTTATGGCCTACCTGCATCCGACAGGGTGTTACCAGCCTCGACCCTCTCTTGAAGTGTAAATTCTCAAAGTATCTCCGGAAAACAGGCTAAACATGGTAAACATTCCTGACTTCCTGAGGCCTGGACACAGCTCCCTTGAAGCTTCCATCCAGACCAGGGCTCTCGCTTGGTTTTTTCCCACCTCGGACGATCCGTGCCCCTCGAAAAATCACCCATTAAAATCCGACGTCGTCAAGGAATTACCCTGATTCTTCAGGGTCCGCGTTCGAAAAGGCCTGATAGAGCGTGGGCAGTTTTTGTGGGACGAGACACTGGGGTTGCGAGTGGGAGAGCTTCGGTTTGGGAAATCCGCTACCACAGACGTACCCGTGATGTGGAGTTCAATTTTGGCCAAGAGGGGCGGGGAGAAGGAGGGTTGGGGGAAGGGCTGGGGCAATTTTGAGTGGCGTGAACATCTGTTCGTGGCCGCTCATTTTAAAACCTGCTGCTAAGTGACTATTGATCTGGTAGTGCATGCGGAAAGACAGTTTAGTTCTAGCTTTTTGGCACCTTAGGGCGTGGTGCATTTCCCAAGAACATTCGTTTGAATGCTTGCCGCACTGAATCGTATAATAAAAAAAAAACGATAGCAACACACAGAAACGTACAGGAACCTTGGCAATATTCGAGTTTAAGCTATTCGATCCCTGCCGTTATACAACTCTCCCCAAGTTTGGGAAAGGGAAGGGAGGGGCTTAGGGGGAAAAGTAGGACTGGGGACCTTGAGATATTCCCACACCTCCGGGTCCTCCCAAAATCCTCCCGGACTCTACGGGTAAGTTGGAAAATCTCACTGAGTTCTTCAGGGCTGTGATTAAAAAACCTCTATAAAACACAGGTTCGGTCGAAAAAATACCTTGGATTTTCAGTCAAGTCAGGGTAATTACTCTGTTAACACGTGCCCTGATCCAGACACTGGTGCACTGTGCAAAGTTCGGAAGCGAGGGTTTTTGAAGGCTTAATGCAAACAGCTTCTGTAGGCAGGTAATGTTCCTCAGGCATAATTAAGGTACGTTTCGGTACGGTTCGATGTGGTTCGATGTTGTCAGCCACCTTCCAGCGTGCAGACAAGCAAGCACCGTGCTAGCCATCGGCAGAACCGAGGGATGTGCCTAGTCTGGAACAGTTTCTCAATGTGATGTCGTGTCAATTCGACTGGGAGGTTCTCGTCTCGAGGTTTGGTCGACTCTCGCCGATGCTATCAACAGAGGTTTCCTTCCATCCACTGAGAAGGCATCGGGCTTCATCAACTCCTTGCGGGAGAACTCCGACGCCGTCGCTCCTCCAAAGTCCTTCAAGACCTAGAAGTTGTAGAAATTTGCTCTGACCTGAAGCCTGTAAAAGAACTGGAACCTAGAACCTAGAAACTGGATCCCTGTATACGAATCGGGTCTTCGTTTGTCCTAAGAACCCAACCAGTTTAGAGACCCGGGACTTCTTTCTTTAGAACTGGTTTAGCCTGTCGAAGATCTAGAACCTCAAAATACCAACCAAGAAGCTGTAAGGTGTTGAGTATCTTCGGTGAATCTCCAAGTCGGTGGTCACTCGCGGTGCATTCTTGGCTTCTTTCGCACTATCAGTAGTGTTCCACGTACGATGGCGGATCGACCGTTAGGATTTGAACGGTCGGAAGCACGCACTGAATCCGAAACTGAAACGCAAAAGCGACGCTCACAGTAACGCGTACGCCAGCAGCCTGAGTGCGGCCAGTAGTAGCACTGCTAGCCGGGTCCCTTCTCCACCCATCCTCCCTACAAAAAAACTTCTGCTCTGGCCTCGCTTTAGTCACAATTCCACCGCTGCTAGCGCGAGCTGCGGCGCCACGAGCGCAGCCGCCGCCGACGATTCGGCGGCGGAGGCAGACGTCTCGGTACTAACTCCTGCTGCTGCTGCTATTATGATAGCGCCGTCGGACGCGCGAGCCAGAGGTGGTTGGAGCAGGCGCGTCCCTTACTTGAGGAAGACGCAGAGGGCGAGGGAGAGAGAGAATACAACGGGCGGTCCGGTCGCTTGCTCCGCCGGTGTGCTTTTTCATGGTAGGTGACAACAAAGAGGATGATAGTACTAGCATTTAGAGGGTTGGGTCGTTGAGCCACGTCAGCAAGGTGCGGAGTGTGACGCGGAAGCCCGTCCGCGGATCAGACGGGGGAAACGCGCGGATCAGACAGGGGGAAACGCGCGGATCACACGGGGGGAACGCGCGGATTAGACGGGAAAAACGCGGAGATCGAACTGGAAATACGCGCGGATTGAGGCCGCTGGAAGACGCGGGGATGAAGCAAGGGACATCGCCTCCATTCCCCCTTCTACTCGCTGCCTTATCCTCTCAAGCCTCCCCCATCCGTTTTCCCCCATCCGCTCAAGCCTCCCCCATCCGCTTCCCCCATCCTCTCAAGTCTCCCCCGTCCGCTCAAGCCTCCCCCATCCGCTTTCCTTCATCCGATTTCCCCTATCCGCCGCCGTCCCCCATCCGCCGCTCCCCCATCCGCCGTCCGCATCTGCTGTTCCCCCATCCGCCTTCCTCGCCGTTCCCCCATCCGTCGTCCCCCAGACCCCCATCCTCTATCTCCCAGCCCCGGGCTTCGCGGTGCTGGTGGCGGCATGGCTTGCACGTCGCATCCTCACCATGCCGGTTGGGGGGGGGGGGGGGGGGTCACTCCGATTCTTTCCAGCCGGGGGGCACTCCGATTCCTTCCAACCGGGGTTTCACTCCGTTCCGCCCAACTCTATCCCCTCTGCTCACCGGCCTAAGGCCTAAGCCGGGCCCACTGCGCTCCATTTTGTCGACTCAAAAGCTGACTCCTTGCGCTTGGATGCTGCATTGTTTACTGCTAGGTTCACTCCAATCTTCCAGATTAACCCCCTCAGCTCCACCGGCCTCAGCCCAACCCAACAGCGCTCCACCGCTCTATTCCCCCGTCACAGCTGCTAGTATACCTGGTGGCAGGAGCCCTCCGCTCTATGCCTGACAAGCTCCCTGGTGCCTTTCGAGCCGGCTCAAAGGTCACCGGCCCAATCCCACCCCACTGGGGCCCACCACACGCTACTAGAGAGCTTAGTACTATTCGCCAGTCGGGGTGGCCTTGGGCCTGGGCCTGGGCCTGGTGACTAGCGTACTATTCGCGACTGGGGTGGGATTGGGCTTGGGCTTGGGCTTGGGCCTGGGCCTGGGCCTGGGCCTGGTGACTTTTCAGTCAACTAGAAAATCACCGGCCCCAGCCCACCCCAACTGCGCTCCACAGCTCTATTCTCTCCAATTGGTGGCGGGAGCCCTCATTGCCACATGGCCGCATGACCGCATGGCTGCATGGCCCCATGGCCCCATGGCCCCATGGCCACATGGCCGCATGGCCGCATGGCCGCATGGCCGCATGGCCGCATGGCCGCATGGCCGCATGGCCGCATGGCCGCATGGCCGCATGGCCGCATGGCCGCATGGCCCCATGGCTGCATAGCTGGACCCGCCCGCCCCCCTGCACTCCACCGCTCTGTTCGCCTGTCGCAGCCGCTAGTACCTAATGGCGGGAACTGTGGGCGGGCTGCATGGCTCGCATGCACTCTCATCACTGCCGCATAGAGAATGTACTGTCTCTTTCGCACCCTCCCTGTCCTGCGCTGCTACTTCTCCCATCCCCCCTTTCCCCCACAGCCCCCCCTGGTTCGCAGAGCTGGTGGCAGCACGGCTGGCATGTGGTCTGGTGTGGCTGCTCTATGCGCGGCACTCGGAGTATGTGGCAAGAAGAAAGGATGCACCTCATTCCACAATCTCCCCCTCCCCCTCCCCATACCCCCGTATACCCCTGTATACCCCCGTATCCTCCCGTATCCCCCCGTATCCCCCCGTATCCCCCATATCCCCCATCTCTCCCAGCCCCTTGGTTCACAGTGCTAGTGGTGGCATGGCTGGTCTGTGGGCTGGTCTTAGCGGGATGGCTGATGTATGAGCGGCACTCCAACTATGTGGTGCGGAGAGAGGAGGCGCTGGGCGTGTGGTGCAAGGAACGTGCGCTCATGCTGCAGCAGCTGCTGCTCACCCATGCCGGCCAGATGCAGGTGAGATGGAGGTCAGGCTCACATAGTGCTGACTCATGTCAGCCAGGTGCAGATGAGATGGAGGCCGGACCCACTCATACTGCGCCCATGTGGCCCACGGTCATGCTGCAGCAGCCAGATGCAGATGCAGATGCAGATGCAGCTGCTGCTAACTCATGCCAGCCAGATGCAGATGCAGGTGAGATGGAGGTCAGACTCACATAGTGCTGACTCATGCCAGCCAGATGCAGATGCAGGTGCGATTGAGACCGGACGCGCGTAGTGCAGTTGTGACTGGACCAAAGTGACTTTTTTGTCGACTCAAAAGTCACGACACTGCGTGGCTGGGTGTGTGGTGACTGGAGCGCGCTCCAGTGATAGTGCCCTGTGCCTAGTGTGTGCGCACGTGACGTAGGTGCGAGTGGACTCAAAGGTCACGACACTGGGTGGCTGGGTGTGTGGTGACTGGTGCGCGCTCCAGTGATAGTGCCTGTGCCTAGTGTGTGCGCACGTGACTTAGGTGCGAGTGGACTCAAAGGTCACGACACTGGGTGGCTGGGTGTGTGGTGACTGGAGCGCGCTCCAGTGATAGTGCCCTGTGCCTAGTGTGTGCGCACGTGACGTAGGTGCGAGTGGACTCAAAGGTCACGACACTGGGTGGCTGGGTGTGTGGTGACTGGAGCGCGCTCCAGTGATGTGCCTAGTGTGTGCACACGTAGGTGACCTTTGAGTCGGCTCATAACGCGCCTAGGTGACGCTGGGTGTATGGTGCAAGGAGCGCACTCTCATGCTGCAGCAGCTGTTGCTTACCCATGCAGGCAATATGCAGGTGAGATTGAGGTCAGACTCGAGTAGTGTTGACTCTTGCCAGCCAGATGCAGGTTTGAATGTATAACCCATACGCAGGTTGGTCTTAGAAAAAAGTAGTACCATGGTGCCGGGTCTGCAGGGCAAGAGGCCGTTGTTTTGAGACGTCTCTTTTCAGACAGCTCTGCGGAGCAAGGGGAACACTGCAAATGGGAGTTGGACATGTGTATGCATATTAGGAGCACTGCGCTATCCTTCTGCCCCATCTCCTTCCTTTCTTCAGATGCTAGCCGGCATCATGCTCGGTCATGGGCAAGCTCGGTCGCACGGGCAAGTGGGAGCTGGCTGGATGTGTGGTTGAGCGGGGAGTATATGGAAGGAAGGAGGACTACGTCACTCACACTGCTTCCCATCCTCCCACGCACCCTGCAGACTCTAACCAGCATCATCTCGATGATGAGCGAGCCTGGCCGTATGGCCAAGTGGAGCTGATCGTGTGAATATGAAGAACATGGCCTTATCCGTCTCTCCCATCTCCTTCCTTTCCGCAGACTCTAACCGGCATTATCTCAGTGATGGGCAAGCCTGGCCGCACGGGCAAGTGGGAGCTGGCTGGACGTGTGTTTGAACGGCAGCACGTGTTGGGATTGCCTCAGTCGTGCTGTTTGCCTACCCTCCCGCCCTGCAGACTCTGACCGGAATTATCTCTATGATGGGCAAGCCTAGCCGCACAGGCAAGTGGGAGCTGGCAGGCCGTAAGTTTGAGCGAGAGTACGTGGAAGGAGGACTACGTCACTCACACTGCTTCCCATCCTCCCACACACCCTGCAGACTCTAGCTGGCGTTATCTCGGTGATGGGCAAGCCTGGCTGCACGGGCAAGTGGGAGCTGGACGTGTGTTTGAACGGCAGCACTTGGAAGGACTACCTCACTCACACGGCACCGACACGGCCGGGAAACACCGGAGCGGTCGCTTGCGTGTTTGTGAAGGATGGGGAGAGGTGAGAGGAGAAGGAGGGGAAGGGATACCTCACTCTCACGGTGTATGCACGGCACGGCACGGCACGGCACGGCTCGGCTCGGCTCGGCTCGGCTCGGCTGAGGAACTCTAGGGAAGTCTCGACTCTCGTGTGTGGTTGTGAGGGATGAGGGGAGATGAGGGGGAGATAGTTGAGGGTGGGAACGAGGAGAATCTAGTGTTGGAAGGATAGCAAAGGTGAGTAACACTTGTGTTTCAGCAGTGTAGCATCTCCATTTTTAGTGGCTACGTTTTCCTCCTTTTTACATTTTCCTTCTGGTTTTCCGAATCCCGTGCCCAATGCTCCAGGACCTCCTTTGAGCGGCGCTTCGGCAGCATAAGAGACAACACTTTGAACGTCAGTTCTCGCCGCCCCAACTATTGCCCCAAGACCCTCGAGTTGACTACAGTGTATGCCACGAACGGCACCGGGAACATCGATCTCATGCAACGGTATTCCGAAGAGATCCCATTGGCGCTGGAAGGCAAGCGCTTCTACACGTGGCCATTTCCTTTGGCCAACCCATCGGATCATCGGGGATTCGGTGAGTCATCATTGGGAGTGTAGCTTGTTCTGGTGTGACCTACTGAACTGGCGTGTTCGAACATGGCTCCGTTTCGTACTTCAAAAGCGGTGGAAAATGGTACGATGTGGTGAAACAAACCACTGGCGAGTTGAACTCTGGTTGCGGTTCGAACAAACACCTCCGAACCTCCAACTAGCATGCCCTTAAAGATTCCACTAGCTGTGGAGGGCAAACGTTTCTACTCGTGGCCGTTCCTCGTGGCCAACCCATCGTCTCATGCAGGCTTTGGTTATTCAGTGTGCTGCATAGTTTGTTGTGGTGTAAACTGCTTAAAACGTGGATGAGTTGGTTTCGAAATGAGGGGGTGGATGGTGGTGTTTGTTGTCGCTCTCCGTTTGGCGCCCCCCCTTCCCCAGCTGTGGACTTTCCTGTTCGCCGCAGTCTTCCCACCAACGACACGAAGCAGCCAACAGCTGCAGCGGCGGCATATGGGACGCTTGGTGCCGTCGTCGACGTGACATTGATTGCAAAGAAGGTCCTGGAAGAGTTATACGAACCCGGTGAGTGACAGAGCTGCATGAATGAACCAGGTGAGTGGTCATAGCTGCAGCGGCGGTGTGTGGGATGCTTGGTGCCGTTTCTGAGGTGATGTTCATCACAAAGTAGGTCCTGGAAGAGTTGTACGAACGTGGTGGGTGACTGACATGGTAGCATTGAGGAGTGCCTTCTTTTGGCTGGCACACGAGCCATGCAGCGCCGTTGACAGTGCATGGGATGGGACGCCTGCTGCATCCTTTGACGTGACGTTGATTGCGCTATAAGAGCTCAACGAATCCAGGGGGAGTGTCCGAGTTGAATGTACCATCTCTTTCGAATCTTGTGCACGCTCCTTCCTCTCTGATTTGATCCCTCTTCTCCCCTCTGCAAATCATTGTTTTGTATGACATTTTATTGTATGACTCTCCTTCATCTCCTTATTATTGACAAGTTCAGTTTATTCCACCTCGTTCTTACCCGTCTGTCATTCGTCTTTCGTTCTCTCGCTCCTCCCATCCAGACCCATCGAAATCATTTGAGCTCTACGACGTAACGGACCCATCGTCTATCTTCGCCATCGTCTCACCAGTCCCGGCGCACGCCTACATGCAACCGGGCGACGCTCTCCCTCACATGCACCCCTCGCCTGCCTCCGAAACCCGCCCCTGGGAGTCCCCTGCGGTGGTGCCTCTCGATGAGTTGAGGGTGTTGATGCGCAATTACGAGGTCTGGTGCAGGTGAGCAGCTCAAATCTTCTTCCATAGCTTCTCAGCTCATGGTGCATCTGGATGGGCTCAAGGGCTGGGACTGGGAGTGTTATCGTTACCGTCGTCTTACACAAATAGCTTCCTTCCACGTGCATGACTGTCCCATACAGGCACATAGAGCCTCCCAGCGTATGGCAATCTTGGGGCATCCCCATCCTCATCGCCCTCTTGACACTCCTCCTTGTGCTGCTCGTGCTGGCGGCGGCATGGCTCCAGCGGGCCAAGTTCTTTCAGACACAGGAGCAGGTGGTGGAAGCGGACAGGCTCAGGAAGAAGGCGGAAGCGGCAGAGGCGTCGAAGAGCATGTTTGTGGCGTGCATGTCTCATGAGCTCAGGACGCCAATGGTCGGCATAATTGGTACGATTGCGTTCCTCCTCCCTTTATGCGATCTTTGATTTTCCTTCCAACACATCCGCTGTGTACCCATCAATGCTAGCCATGTTTCCCCATCATCCCATATCTCCCTTCCTGCCTCGTCTCCCGCTTCCACCAGGCATGCTCGATGCTCTCGCAGACAGGCCCCTCCCCTCCCCAGAGCTCTCAGACCTCGTCATGGCAAGGGCTTCGGCCAGGGATGCACTGCGCTTGATCAACCGAGTTCTCGACCTGGCGAAGCTGGAGGCTGGGAAGGCGGTGGTGGATGAGACGGCCGTTGATGTGCGCGTGTGGCTTGATACGGTGCTGGAGTGTCACGTGGAGGACGCACGCTCCAAAAGCATTGAACGTGAGTGGATGAGATGGTATTCGATTTGCATGTTGGACTTGAAATTGCCTTGCAGTGCAGGTGGACATGATGCATGCGCATGGAACACCGATGACGAGTTCATATGGTGTACATGATTGAGCTGACGAGCCCAGGTGATGGATTGGAACGAAAGGAGGATGGATTGGGGAGGGAAGCTAGCAGTTGACAGAACAAAGCGGGCATATGTAGATTTAAAATGTTCATGGACGTTCTCAATGTGCACGGCATGAAAGAGAGCATTGATGCGAGTGAAATACTTACGTGTGCGTGCTGGCCATGCCTAGATGGTGTTGCTTCTTGCGTTGGCCCTTGCAAGAGAGGTGTGACTGCTCGCCCTTGCTGCTGTTCATTTTAGCAGAATCGTTTGGGACCAAAATCATGTTGAAGAAACGGGAGAGAGAGGTGCGAAAATGAGATTGTTGTCGCTCGTGTGTGGGAAAACCAAAGTGATTAGGGGTAGGGATGATCATGGGACGAGCAGGCCCAGGCCATCCGAGGCCCGTGCGCCAAGACGGGCCAAGACGTTCTGGCGGGCCTAAGGCCCATCGATGCACAGCGCGACCCGAGTCGCGGTGGTCAAAATGTCCACCCTATAGGTCAAAAGGTTTCACCCATCCTGCCATCTCGCCAAAGCCTAGCAAGCATCCCAGCCTACCTACCATCTAACAGGACTAGATCCACCCACAACCATGTTAAGGCCCCCATTTTCTAAGTATGCTCAGACCAGGTGGCAAAACGCCTTTTTTACGTGGATCGGCAATCGAAACGATCCATTCCGCATGAATCGGGTGGCAAGACGCCAGATTCACACGAATCTGCAGGCGAAAAGCTGGATCCCGCACAGAACAGCAGCGAAACGTCTGTCCGGGCAGATCAGCGGACGAAACGCCAGATCCCCGCGAATCAGGGGATCGCATCGCGTGGAACGTCGGGTAAAACACCACGGGCCTGAGCACTGCCTGGCCCGTCACGGGCCTTTCCGACCCGAGGACGGGCCTACACCGTGCCTGTCCTCTTCACACGAGCCTCGAGCCAGGGGCGGAGGCCGGCCTGGCCTAACCCCATCTCAGATCAACCTGGCTATGGCCGTCTCTATGTGTTGCTTGTGGAGGCCATACACTTGACTCAACGGCACAGTTCCCACATCGTGCTCCGAGAAATAAATGTATGAAGCTGTCTGTAGTGGCTGCTCATGAAGGTCGAGTCATGAAGGTCGAGTCATGAAGGTCGAGTCATGAAGGTCGAGTCATGAAGGTCGAGTCATGAAGGTTTCTGCAAGAAAGCATTTGGAGACATCCATGGAGTGAATCTTCGTGCCATTTCGAGCACTATGCCGATGCCGCTTGGATAACTGAACGCACGGCTGAGTGAAAAAAAACACAATTCGCTTTGCCTATGAGAGTTTCCTGTGCCTCGCACGGGTTTGTGATGAACCCGCCGTCAGTTAAACTTGAAGAATAGAAATGTAATTGCAAGGATTCTTTAACGACATGTTGTGACTCGGACAAATATGGGGTAGGTTGATCTGCCCATGGTTTTTTCTCTCTTTCTTTCTTTTTGCGCAAGCTCATGTGTCGGCTATGAATATTTTCCTTGTCCTGGAAATTCCACTCATCTTCATCTTCTATCTCTCTCTCTTTCTTTCTACCAGTGCGTGGCACTGTGGATGACGATGTTCCCACTCGCATCATTGCTGACCAGATGCACCTCTCCAAAGTGCTCAAGGAAATCACAGGTAATGTGGTGACGTGGGGTAACGATGTAAAGTGGGGTGATGTGGTAATGTGGGGTGATGTGGTAAAGTGGGGCAATGTGTGGGGTAATGAAATAAAGCGGGGTAATGGGGGTAGTGTGATAAAGTGGGGTAATGTGTTGGAATGGGGCAAACGTGTAGAGAAATATTGTGAGGTGATTTGGTACTTGTAATGACCATATAAGCCGCTAGTCACATGTAATTTATATGTTGTGGTTATGCACATTCTTCAAGCCCAAGTGTTACATTTGGGAGGCTAGGAGGCAGGGAGACCATGTGTGCATGCTGGGACATGACTCCACGTGTGCATGCTGGGGCATGACTCCACGTGTGCATGTTGGGACATGACTCCACGTGTGCATGCTGGGGCATGACTCCACGTGTGCATGCTGGGGCATGACTCCACGTGTGCATGCTGGGGCATGACTCCACGTGTGCATGCTGGGGCATGAATCCACGTGTGCATGCTGGGACATGACTCCACGTGTGCATGCTGGGGCATGAATCCACGTGTGCATGCTGGGGCATGAATCCACGTGTGCATGCTGGGACATGACTCCACGTGTGCATGCTGGGGCATGAATCCACGTGTGCATGCATGGAGGGATCTATCTTCAGGTGTGCTTGCAGAGACATGTCTGCATGTGCTTTTGAGGCGCCTCAAAAGTTGTATCCGGGTGTGCTTGCAGGGGCGTGTGTGCATGTATCACAAGTACATTATGTGGGCCATTGCACTTCACTGTTTTGTCTGGTGTTTCGCGGCACCTATTCCTTGCATGATTGACTCTCGATGTGACCTCATTAGTCGACATTGCCACCGTGCATGTGGTATCCCTTGTCTCACAGACCCTCTTGTGTCTTACCTCCCTCTTTGTCAATGCTTCTGGTGCTCCTGCCTGGGTTTCACCACGCCTTTGCTTACCTCCTAGGGAACGCTGTCAAGTTCACGGCACAAGGCCACATGATGGTGCGGGTGTTCTTGGTGCCGCAAGGGGCGAGCATGCAAGACACCCTTCAATTGCCCTGTCTCACGATGGCTTTAAGTACATTTGTCTGATGCATTCTGTGCTCCAGAGAACGCTGTCAGGTTCACGGCACAAGGCCACGTGACGGTGCGAGTGTCGTTGGTGCCGCAAGGGACAAGCTTGCAACACACCCTTCAATGCCAGGGTAAGGGTGTGTGTGAGCATGTGGACGCCCCTTTGGTGCTTATTCATGATCTTTAGCGTCTCACTCCTTGACCTCTCGTCTCACTCCTTGACCTCTCGTCTCACTCCTTGACCTCTCGTCTCACTCCTTGACCTCTCGTCTCACTCCTTGACCTCTCGTCTCACTCCTTGACCTCTCGTCACACTCCTTGATCTCTCTCCCTTTCTTTTCTGCCATCGTAACCCCCTTCCCTCCCTTTCTCCCTTTCATTCCAGGCCTTTCCACGACCACCCCACACACACCCACTTCAACGCTTGCCACCTGGGCTTGCGCTTGGGGCTGGAAGCAGGAGACAGCAAGCAGCGCAGCAAGCAGCGCAGCTGTCAACACACCGGATGAGTCTGAGACCGCCCATGACAGGAGAGTCCGCAAGAGGCACGATGGGAGGCCCAAGAGGCGGCGCGATGGTCAGCACAATGGGAACGGAAGACCGTGCCCGTGGTCTTGTCCGGGCCCGTGCCCGTGTGTGCTCGTGCTGTCGTGCCAGGACTCAGGCTGTGGCTTCCCGGCGTCTCTGCACAGAGCGGATGGCAGTGGAGGGGCTTCGTACTTCTCCCTTGTGGTGAGGAACGGCCTGATTCTGACAAGCCTTTGAGGGGTGTGGGGGTTTCCTTTGCTTCCCCGCGTCTCTCCACGGAGCGGGTGGCAGCAGAGGGGCTTTGTACTTCTCCCTTGTGCTGTCGTGTTAAGACTCGGGTTGCGGCCTCCCAGCGTCTCTCCACACGGCGGATGGTGGGGAGGGGCTTTGTACTTCTCACTTGTGGTGAGATCCTGTCGAAGTTTGTCATGCCGTTGAGGGGGTCGCCCTCCCTCTCTCTCCTCTTCTCACATTAACCAGCCCATCCCCCCACCTCCTCCCCCCCCACTCTAGGAGTCGCGGGAGCAAAGGGAGGCGAGGAGTGGGTCAGGCACAGCACTTGGGCTGGTGCTGGTGCAGCACATGGTGAGTCGTGGTGCTGTGTTGGTTGGTGAATCAGCGTGTAGACTAAGCGGGTGAGGTGTCTAGACCTTTCAGCTGGTGCAGCTCCAGCAGCTTCAGCGGCTGCTTCAGATGGGTGATCGGAAGGACGAATCGGATGGTGATGTGAAGTCACTGGTTAGTGTGAGGTGTCTAGACCTTTCAACTGGTGCAGCTGCAGCAGCTTCAGCAGATGGTGAATGGTTAGTGGTGAATGGTTAGTGGCGAATGGTGGTAAGTGGTACTTAACTTTTGGTCGAGTACCCAACTATGGGTCAAATACCTAACTATAGATCCGGTACATAATTTCAGGTCTGGTACCTAACTACAGCCTATAGGTCTGGTACTTATCGTCTAATCTAGTATTCCGAATCCAATCTAGGATGCACCCTCTCATCGCCCCCTCCCCAATTCCCCCTCCTCTGCAGGTGACTCTAATGAAGGGGGAATTGGCCTTCGACTCACGGCCGGGGTGTGGCAGCACAGTTGCTTTCTGTGTGCCTGTGACTACTCCCTTCATACAAGAACACTGCTTAGAAGAAACCTACCTGGAGGATCAGAACGTGCTGCAGGAGCAGAGTCAACAGCAGCAATGGCAGGGGGAGGTGGCATGGCATCGTGAGACCCAAGAGAGAGGGTCAAGAGAGTTTCCAGGTGCTGCCAGCAGTTGCCACGAGCAGCAGACAGGTTCAGGAGATTCTTCAGGGGCTATCAACAGAATGCCGTTGCAGCAGCACAGCGTTCAGGTGGTTCAACGTAACCCGAACCAGCAGCAGCAGCAGCAGCAGTGGTTGCCTCTGGTGCAGTCGTGTGAAGGGTCGTTTGTGGTGCATGGCTCAGGCGAGGTGCTGATGCAAGACTCGAGAGCAATCCAGAGAGGCCGGAGCAAGAGCGAGAGAGTGGATGCGAGTGAGAGAGTGAGTGTGAGTGTGGGTGCGAGTTATCCGCGGGCCATATCTGTGCCTCCATCGAGCGCTGCTGCCGCAGGCACGCATGCAGCAGCGGCTGCTGCACAGACTCGCGCGTGTCTCACTGGGCTGCGCATCCTGGTGGTGGACGACACGCCGATCAACCTCATGGTGGCCCGCCGCACTCTCACCCGCTGGGGCGCTGCTGTGGCTACGGCGAAGAGCGGGGCGGAGGCTGTTGAGATGGTTGGTACAGGCATGCAGGGAATGGAAGGGGAGGAGGCGGTTGAGTCGGTTGTTGCTGACATGGGGGAAGCAAGAGGGCAGGAGGCGGTTGGGGAGGAGGCGGTGGAGATGGCTGGTGAGGGCATCGAGGAGAGGAGAGTGGAGGATGTGTGTGCGTCATTGCGGCATGGTTACGACTTGGTTCTCATGGACCTGCAGATGCCTGGCATGGATGGGTGAGTGGATGGATGGGTTGGGCATAGGGGGGACCTCATGGTGTAATGTTGCTGCATGCATGCATGGGGCCACCCCATGGCGGCATGGCATTGACTTGGTTCTAATGGACCTGCAAATGCCTGGCATGGATGGGTGAGTCATATTCTTCAGTTTTCCAGAGGAGCAGCAGTGTTGGCTAAGGTTTAGCAAGAATATTGCTCTTTTCTTCATTGCTAAACGTTTGCCGGCATTGTTCCACCTCTGGAAGACATGGATAGTGAGCTCATGGCTGAGGGAGGCATGCGCAGCAATAAATGGCAATTGATGAGCAAGTCAATGGACGGGATAGGATGCCCCATTGTACCAATTTGAGCGCCCCAGTTCCCTTTTCATGCATGCATGCATAGTGTGAAGGGCTTGGTTGGTGCAAACCCGTTTCAGGCTACCTCAATCAATCCCTCTTTCAGGACCTCAACCACCGGTAATGCTTGAGTGCCACTCAACATTACTGTCCATGTGTGCACGCCTCTCTCTCTTCCCCCGGCAGCTTCACAGCAGCAGCGGCCATTCGAGCCCACGAGAGGAGACTGCAGTTCGAAGCCACTCGAAGTAGGCAGCAGCAGAGGCAGCAAGCGGCACTTGAAGCAGACCCTCAAGGGAGGGACTGGAAGCGGCCCGCAGGTGTTGACTGGCAGCGGCCTGACTGGGGAGAAGATCGGCAAGCACCTGCTGCTGACTGGCAACCACCGGCTGCTGAGAATGACTGGCCAGCCCTTCCACGTGTGCCCATAGTGGCTCTGACAGCAGACGTGGATTGCGGAGTGGTGCAGAGGTGTGCAGAGGGGGGTTTGACGGTGTGCTTCAGAAGCCAGTGGACGCCCACCTGCTGGCGGCGCACTTGAGCCAGGCACAGCTCCAGCTGTCACTGCGGCGGGTTGTGTCGCACCCGACTGTCACACAAAGAAACTGAGAGATGATACTGACACTACTACTGACTGAGGCTTAAACCGGTACGACTGATTCGACAGTCGCTGCTGCGGATGGCGTCGCCCCCGGCTGTCACACGAAGAGCTGACAGATTTCACGGACACTACTACCGTCAACACAATACTTCTGGTGTATTTTGAGGCGACTCAAAATACACAATACTTCTGACTCAGCAGTTGCTGCTCTGTGGGTGGCGTTGCAGCAGTAGCCAACTGCAACTCAAACAACTGAGGGGCACTTGTACTGAGTCAGCAGTCGCTGAGAAAATTACAGCCTATGCAATTTCTGGCAACGAATTTCGGACAATTGTTGGCTAGCGGCGGTAGCAATGCTGTAGCAAATTCCGAATACACGACCCAGGGAGGGTCTTATTGTCAGAAGGCTAGCTTAGCTAGGAAGCTAGAAAAGGCATGAGGTTTAGCTAGGAGGAGCTATGGAGTGGCGTGAGGTCTAGGAAGGAGAAAAGTTGAGGGAAAAGAGAGTTGGAATAGAAAGAGAGAGGCATACGAGGAGATTGTACTCTCTACAGTAAAGTTCGGTAACCTACCAAGCCTACCAATTATATAACTCAATACACAATTTAACCCACCCCCTAGGCTTGGTAGTCACAAGCCCACACACACCCCCACACCCCCTAACCTAGCACCCCCATTCCAGCCACAGTGACAGCGACACTAGCTCGGTCGACCCCTCGGCGCGTGAAGCGGCGACGTCGACCGCATGGACTGCGGCGGCAACGGCGGCAGTGTCGACAGCGGCGGCGGCAGCGTCGTGCGGCTGCATGGCCCCGACGCAAGCGGCGACAGCGGCGACGGCGGCGGCTTCGACAACAGCGGCGGCGCCCGCACCTCTTGGTGACGTGGCAAGGCCCCGCGACGGTGGGACGGCCGGCGGGAGTCAGCCGTCGTCTGCGAAAAGGAAGAGGACACAGGGGAAGGAGGGGGGGGGGGGGGGGGGGGGAGGGGGCGCCGCAGGCTGGCATGCGGGCGGCCGGTCTAGCGGCGCCACAGGCGTCGTGCGGCCGGCTGCAGCCCGACGGCGCCGTCACAGAGCGGCGTCGACGCCGCGGCAGGACGTCGACGCTGCGACGGCAGCACGACGGCCCGACACCACGTTAGCGCGTCGAGACGGCCGCGGCACGACGCGGCCAGCGGCATCACGACGCCGCCACTGCAGCAAGACGCGGCCGCGATGGCCGCGCGAGCGAACGAGGGTGAGGAGTACGCGGCGGAAGCGTGAGGAGGCGGTCCAGCAGGGAGGACCTCCTGCTCTGATACCATGTTAGAATGCTAGCTTAGCTAGGAAGCTAGGAAAGGCATGAGGTTTAGCAAGGAGGAGCCATGGAGTGGCGTGAGGTTTAGGAAGGAGAAAAGTTGAGGAGAGAAAAGAGAGTTGGAATAGAAAGAGAGAGGCATACAAGGAGGGGATTGTACCCTCTACAGTAAAGTTTGGTAACCTACCAAGCATAGCAATTATATAACTCAATATATAGTTTAGCACTTATATCATACCTAAATAAAATCCATGTCTTATAAACAGAGTACCTGTTTATAAGAAAACACCCGGATAATAGACCCTAGGGTCTTGTATTCGCCCGGGTCTTCTATCCGGGCGTTTACGGTAGTCGGCACCCGCTGCTGCGGGTGGCATTGCAACCGACTGACACACAAAGAGCTGACAAAGTCTACTGACACTACTTCTGCCCGAAACTCAAAGCAAGAGACGATACTGTAAAACATATCTTTGTATGTTTAGTAGACTAAATAGGGTCATACTATAGAGAGTACAACACCCTAGCCTATATACCCCTGTATCCATCTTTTCTAGTCATTCTTTCTCTTGTTAATAGATACTACTGAGTCGATAGTCACTGCTGCAGGTGGCGCCTCACCTGACTGTCACACAAAGAAGTGACAGGTTGTAGTGACACTACTGCTGACTGAAACTCCAAGGGAGGGACAGTTCTTCCCAGTCGGCAGTCGATGCTGCGGGTGGCGTCGCAACGGACTGTAAGACAAACAACTGAGGGACACCGGCAGTGGTGTGTGAGAGTAAGGGGGTGATTGGGGCAGTGACTAGTCGCCCAATTCACGCTCTCTCACGACTGAGAGACGACCAAGCCAGTTGCGCACTGAACCGAACCGAAAAGGACTCAGATGCTGAGCTGAGACGGGCTGAGATACTCAACTAAGAAGGACTGAGATATGACTGGTAGGGTAATGAGGGTTCTCTCTTTGGGGGCCTCAAAAATGAGATACAGCTGGCAGGGTGACGATATGGTGCTGGCGAAGCCAGGGGATGCCTGCCAGCTGGCGGCTTTGTCTCACTCTAGCCAGTCAGAGTGCCAGGGATCGCTCACTTGGGTCACTTCCCAGCCTGACCACCATGACTCAAAGAGCTGGCTGCGCTACTGACTGGCCAGTGGCCAGGAGATTGTACCACTGACTGGTCTGAAAGGGGTTGGTGGCAGCTTGTTGCCCAGCGCTGTTCCAGCTATCACTCACTTGGGTTGCTTCCCAGCCTTACTGTAAATCAATGCACTGGCTCTAGATGAGCTCTTGGGAGGTTCCACTGTTAACTTAGGAGGCTAGGAGGTAGGAAAGGCTGCCATGAAAGTGGCGGTGGGGTTTAGCTAGGAGGTAGGAAAGTGTCGAGAGAAAAGAGGGACAACTAGAAGTGAGAGAGGCATACAAGGAGGGGGGTTGTACCCTCTACAGAAAGGTTCAATAACCTACCAAGCCTACCAATTATATAATACGATATATAATTTAACATCCACCATTGGCTGGTTTGAGGGGATGAGACTGTTAAGATACTAGAATAGCTAGGACGCCATGAAAGGCAAGAGGGTTTAGGCTAGGAGACCAAAAGATACGAGAAGAAAGAGAGTGAGACTAGGAAGAAAGAGGGATACAAGGAGGGGATTGTACTCTCTACAGTAGGTTTCACTAATATCTACCAAGCCTATAATTATATATAACATGTCTAATTTAACACACCCCCTAGGCTTGGTAGTAGGACACCACACACACAAGACACTAAGCCACACACACCCCCTAAATCTAGCACCCCTATACTCAGCAGCAACGACGGCTATGTCAAGTTATACATATATTCATATGTAGAGATAACAGGCTAGCTAGAGTTGTGCTCTTAGAGAGTACATCACAACCCCATGTATCTCCTGTACTCTCATCTTTCTAATTATTCTAGTATCTTAATATGGTATCAGAGCAAGTAGGTCCACCCGCCCTCTTTCGCCTCGCGCCCTAGCCTACCGTGCCCCACTATCCCCTAGCGTGCCCGCCAGCCCTAGCGCGCTCGCCAGCCCCCAGCACGCTCGCCAGCGCCTAGCGCGCCCGCTGACCCCTTACGCGCCTAGCAGGCCCCTCGCGCCAGTCGGCCCCTCATGCTAGTTGGCCCCTCTCGCCTAACAGGCACCTCTCGCCTAGTCGGCCCCTTACGCGTTTAGACGGCCCCTCGCGCCCGGTCGACCCCTCTCGCGCCAGTCGACCCCTCTCACCTAGCCGGCCCCTCATGCCCAGTCGGCCCCTCGCGAGCCTAGTCGGCCCCTCTCGCACCTGGTCGGCCCCTCTCGCGCCTATTCGGCCCCTCCTACGCACGGCCGGCCCCCCACATCTCGTCGGCCCCTCCTGCACCGGCATGGCCCCTCGTGCGGCTCGGCCTCTGCCCGGCTCCTCTCGTGCTCCGCCCGACCCCTCGTGCCCCCGCCAGCCCCTCCTGTACCTGCCGGTTCATGAAGCCCCGCCGACCTGCTGCGCGCCTTGGGCCTTGTGCGCTTCGCCCGGCCTTCCTGCTGGAGCTTCGAGACGCTGTGCCACTGAGTACCCGTGCCGAGTTGCTGTGGAGCTGTGCCGTTGAGGCTGCACGATGGCGGACTCCGTACTCGGCCTGGACGCCGAGCGCAACGCAATCGACTTCGCCGCCTGGCTCGTTGATCTCCGCCATCACCTCACAGGTCAACGCCAGGATGGGCATTCCATGGCCATGGATGTTGATGGCCTACTGCCCCGCCCCCTCTCGCATGCTCCCCTCCCTGCTGACCCCACCTCTACCGAGCGTGAGGCTTTCCCTACTGCAGCGCTCGCTTGCATTGTCCGGGATTCCCGCGATGTTATAGTGCAGCTTGCTATTAGTCATGCTCTTCCCTTGTCTGAGCGTCCGCGTTTCACTACTGTCACAAACGCCAAAGATTTCATCGATGTCGTAGTTGCCCGCTATTCCACACCCACCTCTGCCTCTGCAGGCCGCCATATCCTTCCTATGATGTTTCCCGATCTAGCCGCTTTTCCCATCGTCACTGACCTCACCACTCACCTCTGTACACTAGAGACTCGCTACCGCACTGCTAGCACTGCCGCCCAGCTCACAGCTCTCTCCCCACCGTTCTGCATCACCCTGTACCTTATCACCATGCGCCTGCCTGACCGCTTAACCAGTGCCCGCGACCACTTTCTTGGCCAGCACCCTGGAGACCTCACCCTGACCGCCTTTGTCGCAGCCCTATCCGAGATCGAGACTCGCCAGCGCACTATCGCTCAGTCAAGCGGTGTTGCGGCAGTCGCTATCTTTCAGGGTTGTGCCCCCTCCCAGTGCACGTACGCTGACGTTTTTGCTGCGGTCGCTACTGCGATCTCTCCTACGGAGATCGCTGCTGCGGCCTTCTCGCAGCAGCGCCAGCGCCGGGGCCATCACGGCCCCAAGGGAGGGCGTGGTGGTGGTGCTAGTGGTAGTAGTGGTGGTGGCGGTGACAGTGGTTCTGACGAGGGGGTTGTGGCAGGTGTATCGGAGCAGCAGCAGCCGCAGCCGTAGTAGGCGCAGCCGCAGCAGTCGTGGGCCAGCCTTTTGCCAGGGTGGCCGGGCGCCTCCGGAGGTGGTGGCCACGGTGGCGGCCCTCGCAACTCGACGTCTTCTGGCAGTTTCGCTGCTGTGACCTGCCAGTACTAGCTCCAGACCGGGCCCCTCCGCGGCAGTGTGTGCCGCAGCCCGCACCCGACCGCCCGCTGCTTCCACCGCCTCGATAACCTCTATCGTCGCCGCTTTGGCCCGGCCCCGGACCTCCCTGTTTGGTGCATTCTGTTGCGCCATGGTGTGCCTATCTTTGAGTTAGATATGGATCAAATTAGTTCTGTCTTGCATGCTTTGTATACTAACGCTTCTAGTGTGTTCGGATCTTATTACCATGTGTTCTCTAGCTTAGGCGTAGCACCTGTGTGTAGTTCCGACTCCTCTGCTGCGTCAGGCGTAGGACCTTCTACTTTGTCTAGCCTAGGCTCCACACTAGCTCCTCCTTCATCTACGGCTACTACTTCGCTGTCCTTCACTCTGGACTCTGGTGCATCGGCCTGCTTCTTCCGCGAACGCGCCACACTCATGCCGCTTACCTCGCCTACCACTCTCGCTCTTGCTGACCCTTCGTCTGGTCCTGTCGTAGCTCGCAGCTACACTACCCTTCCCTGTCCAGCGGTCCCCTCGGGTTCTCTTACAGCCCTGCACATCCCCTCATTCTCTAGGAACCTAGTTGGTGTCGGCTGACTTCAGGACCT